CCCAACTAATAATCAGAAAAATGTTCAATATCAGACCCAATAATTTGTGGGGTTGACAATCAGTCGATCACTGCTGTGTTTCAAATGTTAGCATGCTAACAGTTAACTAATGTGGTAAATAATAGATTCTAAATGTGCCATGTAAGCATTGCTGTTGTGAGCATGTTCACTGCTGGCTTAGCTCTAGACTCCTGACATTACTTGAAAGCCTGTTATCAATGTGGTTATGAAGTAGCAGTCAGTTTGATTGCGAAACGTTTCACTGGAAAACTATTTATTTCAGTTTCAGTCAGTCTGGCCTCTCCAAGTGTTTCAACATGTGTGACACGCTCGTCCGACTTACCTTATTTTTGTTGTGTTTCTCCAGCAGAGTCCTGACATAATCTCTGGAGATTGAAGCCGAGCTGACAGGATGATCCCACATATGGTAGATCCTCTGCTCCATAGGCTGCAAACACAAACACACACACAACAGAGTTTACATTTCAGGCATGTAGCTCATGCTGTCAATAAAAAAAAAAAACACAACAACAAATTCCCTGGAGCATGTGAACATCTGTCCCTTTCTGGTTTGCCAACTGGAACGCAAAAACCATTACTGAGGAACGGACTGCTAATGAGGAGTTCCGGAGAAATCGTATTTTACAGACTTGTGAAACGTACACGAGAGTGACAACGCTTAAATAAAAGAACAGCTCTACAGGTGTGACTGACGGTGAGAAAAAAGGCAGCTTTTCCTCACGCTGATAAAAAAAAAAAAAGCTGCTGAATCACTTCAAGGATTGTGTTTGTCTCAGAGGTGAAGCGAAAACAAGTTGAGACAAACGCAAGCAGCCTTATGTAAGGACTCTACATAAGTGTGGATTAACACATATTTTTTCACTGCATCATCAGGGGCTGAAACTGTTTGCCTGATATTTTCTCCAGATGTCATCATCCCAGATTGTGGTTTGTGAACGTGCAGCTGCTGAATATTAACTGGGGGAATTTGTAAAAAAAAAAAGAAGGAGTGTTTGGCCTGAGCCTCCAAACTCATCAGCTGTGATATTTATAGACAAAATACCCAAATGGGATGCCGCGCTGGGCAACTGGCAAACTTAAAGTGCCTCTCCAGTCATTGATTGAACCCATAAAAACTCATCTGTATGTATCAGAATTATATATTTGGAAGTTTTTACCATGAAAGTAATCCCTTTCTGCCACAAACTGGTTTAGATGCAGCTCTCCACATTGCTTCCTGTAGAATGTGCAGAGCCACTAAATCCCTTACTCTCACGGCTCCATGTTCGCTGCAGCTGTAGCACACCAGCTCACCTGCTTAAACTACTCAGCGCTACATATCGTCAGGTTCTTATGTTGAAGTAATTCAGCCGAACATGTACACAAAAAAGTGGAATGATCGATGTAAGCTGACGGGATTGGTTACTGAGGTTTGTGATGTATGAAACTCAAGACGTCTGAATCCGCGTTTTTGAGACTGTCATGGACATATGGACATGTCAACATGGGGGACGGGGCTTTTTAATATTGTGACATTTTCAAACAAATACCTAAATGAAAACGAACTAAAACAAGAAATAAGCTTTCAGAATTATTTTGCAATGTGAATATTAGATTAGATTAGATATAACTTTATTGATCCCTTTGGTAGGGTACCTCAGGGAAATTGTTGAAAATGGTGAAACAGACTTTTTCAGTCTAGGAATGATCTTTAAGATTTATTTTATTAACACTACACCCAGAAAAACAAGGTTCAAAAAGTACACAAATATAACCCTAAACTGTCAAAAGTTAATTTTTCATTTTTCTAACTTTGTTTTTCCATTCTGCACCTTCATGAAGTCACACCTGCCACTTGTAAATCCATTACTGGGATACAGCAGGAAGTCCTACCTGAGTTCTTAGTACCTGCGAGGCTCATTTCAAACTCATATTTATTCTCATTTTGGTTGCACTAGTAAATACAAATCTCTTAGCAATCACTCAAGTGTGATGTGTGAAGAAATCCTCGATGGGAACGTTCAATCGAAAGCAACCAACTGTGTAAACAGGAAGTGACAGTGCAACAACAAGTCGCAACATGACTTCCAAACATGACAATTAAAGGAATATCTGATCTGTGCAATATCTGTTCAATGTCAAATGATTCCATTTTGTTTCACCTTCCAGTAATGGTTCAATGAGTTGAACAGTATAGGCGTTCTCAGTAAAATTTAAGTTAAAATGTCTTTTATTACAAATACAAGCCCCTCAGTAGCAGCTTTGATGGAACATAAGTCAGTCCACCTTTCATTGCTGAGATTCAAATCGTTTGTTTTTTAAATATTTCATATGTCCAACTTTATCTTTGATGACAGAGTCGATCCTCCTTAGCATGCAAAACAGCGTAGCGCAAATGTCTTCAGAGATCTTCTGCCGTACTTCAAAGACAGCTTTTTTTTTTCACCTGTTTTTTGCTGGAGGGGTTGTGTTGCTCTACCTTTCTCTTTAAAATACCTCACAGGTGTTTGATTTGATTCAAGTCAGGCAATATACTTGGCCAGGTCATACTCATCACTTTTTTATTCCATAGAAACTGTAATTAACGACATGCTTCAGATCATTATTATGCTGGAACATTCCTCTTCTACCAAGCTTCTGCAGACTGGGAGTCATCTTGTCGGCCAGTATGTTGGTTTATCCACAGGCATCCATGGTTGTACATATCATCTCCCCGATACCTTTTGCTCTCAAGCAGCCCCATATTATCATACTTCCACCTCCGTGCTTCCCTGTTGGGGCTATGCATTCACTGCTGTGTTCCTAGCCAAGCTCAAAGTTATCTCGGTCTCATCTGACCAAAGAACATGCTCCCAGTATTCATCAGGCCTCCATGAATTACTCCTGTGCCAAGTCTGAAGTACCTTCCCTTCTGTTTTTCAGAGCTAGATTGTGCAAGTAGAGCAATGTCCATCAGGTCAGCCGCTGTAGTTCTGATTAGTGCTGCTGTGACTCGTTCTATACCTCCTGGTTACTGCTGCTGGTTACTGTCACAGATCTTCTTGTATCCTTTTCTATCTTTGTGAAGTCAGATTTTTCAGTTCCTCTGAGAATTCTTTTCCAAGTGCCATGATGCAGACATGCAGAGGGACATAACCCATCGGTCCAAAGGTGAGAAAGTTCTGGTTTTCACCACTGGAACTGTCGACCTAACTATAAATCACAGCAGTACTCAATGTTGTTTCAGTGATCACAGGTTTTATAAAGTCAGTGTGAGTGATGAGCGGTGTTTCACTTTTGTTAAACTAAGTTTCTGCTTCAACGTTTGTGCGTTCAATATAGTCTTTCTACTGTATTTGGTTTTGATTTGTAATAAGATAAAACATTCTTCTTGTCAACTTAGAAATATTTGCAATTGTTGATATTTGGGGGCTGCAAGTTGGCGCAGTTGGTAGCACTGTTGCCTCGCAGCAAGAAGGTTGCCGGTTCACGTCCCGGTGGGGGCACCGGGATCTTTCTGCGTGGAGTTTGCATGTTCTCCCCGTACAGCGTGGATTCTCTCCGTGTTCTCTGGCTTCCTCCCACACAGTCCAAAAACATGTTGAGGTTAATTGGTGATTCTAAATTGTCTGTAGGTGTGAATGTGAGTGTGCTTGGTTGTCTGTCTCTAAGTGTAGCCCTGTGATAGACTGGTGACCTGTCCAGGGTGTCCCCTGTCTTCACCCTAAGTCGGCTGGGATAGACTCCAGCCCCCGCGACCCTAGTGAGAATTAAGCGGTGTATAGATAATGGATGGATGGATGGATGATATTTGGTACAGTTTAGAATCATCTGACTGTCTCCACACATGGATGGAGAAATATGTTTCAGAGTGATGCTGTTGTGCCGTTTAGGATGAGAATGAAACACTTGATTATGCGACCTGTTATTTGCATAAAATGTTGCTATTTGAGATTCTCGCATTGTTGCTGAACTGAATTTCAACAAGTATCGGATCAGACATGTCGACCACATCCCATCCTGGTGTTGCATGTTAGCAGGCTGGCGCTAATTTTGTCGTTTAATTCATTTAGATAGAAAACCTCCCCACCTGGCAGCTACAGTGTTTGAGAATAATTAATCTCTGTGAGTAATTTGCGTGGTGCAACCTGTTTCCATTTAGTGGCAGCTACAGTAAGTCTCCACTTAGTCAACATTTAGAATATCCCCGTATGACTTAACAAAAGAGCTGCTGCCACTTCCCCCCCCCCGCCCCCCCTTGTGTTTCTGTTACTGCAGGAATCTAAATTCTAATATGAAGCTTTAATGGAATTCCCCCGAGGGGTTAGGGACGTATATATATATATATATAATGAGAATTACAGCGGAGTTGCTGGCTTTAGTGAAGGTACAAATCTGCTACAGCGGCCAAACACCTCCTGTTTCCTGACTCTATGGGAGCGGGTGTTGTACCTGCTAAATCTCTGCTGCCTGCCAAACTCACCCAACGAAAAGTCTGACGGGCAGGAAACAGAACAGAGACACTAAACACTCGACATTCCTCTGATCACGGTGCGGACGGAACACACACACACGAACACACACACACACACACTCATGCCGAGCTACAAAAGAAATATACTGCACCCACACGGGAACACGTGGAAGTTACACAAGGGGTAGGACATAAACACACACCGACTCGGGAGGCAACCGTCGACGCAAACCCCCTTTCCCCGGCGCACACACACATATACACACCAGCTGGTTACACAAGTGCTTTGTGATTGGCTTGAGGGGGGCTTGAGGGAGATGAGACCTAAAATAACTTCAAACTCTTAATTGGACCAGAATGGGAAGTCTGGCGAGAGAGCCATTCGAGAAAAGACGAACAGTCCCCCCCCCCCCTTCTTTTGCTAACAGAATGGATTATAATCGCCTCGCACATTGTTTCACTCTTTAAAGATATTGACCTCTGAGTTTGTGGCCTTCACGTATTCTCTTTCAGAACGCCAAAGTTTGAAACCACTCACCTCACTTAATGCTTGGACACACACACAGAAAAGTACCTGAGGGAGTCTCTTAAGTATGCTGAACTTCAATCTTTCGTTGGCATCGCTGTTGTCCAAATCTAAACGCAAAAGAGAAAAAAGAAAAGTGAGAAGACGAGCTGCTAATTGCTCTTCTGAAGACAAATCTCACACGGGAGAACAACTAATGCCACCTCACACTTCTTTTCTTAAAAGGTAACAGCCCACGTTTTGAAATTCTTTCCACTGTTTACTTCCCAAATTCTGTTAAAAAAAATAACATTTACAGCGACTGATTAGTATGAATAAAAAATGAAAGCAATATTTCACTTTGACAGAAAACAGATGAGGCTTCACAACTGATTACCGAAGTTAAAATGATTCTCAGCCAGTGCACGAATAACGCTGCACCTGATTATTTAATTGCCTCTGTTGTATCTCAGCTACACCTTTTTCTGTGCGAGTTTTTAACAAAATGTTCTCACAAATTTTTTATGGATTGCCATGAAATTTGGTACAAAGGAGATTAAATGTTTCACCTTGTTGATCGCTTGTTTGTTCACAGAACAAACAAGGTTAAAAAAAATGGTCAAATGTTGTTGTGTGATGGCCAAAAACTGTGAAAATAAAGCGTAATAGGGAGCTAATAGGGGTTTAATCAATGACCTTCCAAGGACTTCAAATGTTGCCCAGTGTTGCATCCCATTGGTGATTGTCTTTAAATACCAAAATGAATGAGTTTGGAAGCTCAGGCCAAACGCTCCTTCTTTTTTTTTTTTATTACAAATTTAATATTCAGCAGCTGCGAGTTCATAATCAACAAAATGTGATGATGAAACCTGGAGAAAATCTCAGGCAGGGGCCTCGTGGATCCGCACATTCTGGAGGTAGCAACGACGTGGAGAAACATCAAAGACATTTTAGAGCAAAAAAGGATTATTTGCATCGGAAGAAGTTCTAAATATGTAACTTTGATACACTCAGATGAGATTTTAGGGGTTTAGTAAATGACTGGAGAGAGACTTTGTGCAAGAAATCATACCTAATTAGAAGTTTTGTGCTAATTAGCAAAAGTTAGCATGCTAACATGTAAAACTAAGATGGCGGACATGCTAAACATCGCACCTCCTTACTGTTAGCATGTTAGTGTTATCATTCTAAATGTGTTAGCATGCTGATTTTAGCAGTTAGCATTAGTTTAGCTGCACTTTAGCAATTATGTGAAATGATTTGAGAATGTGTTAAACTTGTTTGATGATGTCATGAAGTTGATTTTAGCCAATCTGAGCGTGTAAACTTTCCGATGCAGCTTTTAGTCCTTCTTCTGCACCCAAAAAAACCTCCACATCGGACAACTACAACAGCTGTTTCATGTTCATTTGATTTAATAAATGTAAGTAAACCTCTTGTCACTTTCTTTGAGCCAGTTTTGAGTTTCCGCCAGGCTACATGAGACCGGTCGGATTGGGAAAACCTTCCAAGAGAACATGCCTGCGTGCTTGTAATGAGGCAGAAAGTCCACACCTGCCCAGCCAATTACCCCAACTAAAAGGAAAAGTAGAATTTTAAATAGATGTATAGATATTTGATTAATCCCTGGGGAGAAGTGACGCATGAACCGCCTCACTTCAAAGTCTCCAGAACATCCCTTTTCTCTCACTTTGAAGTTGGAGACCATTCGGACGCCGCTGCTTTAAATAATCGTTTCATCTTCAAGGATATTTCTTTGTTCTGCTTCACGACAAAGACGCATGTAAACCACAACAAAATCAAGACTTAACGAGGAAGGCTAGCTATTTTGGTTCTGTTGATCTTTGTGCCAAGTCGCAGCGTTTGGCCTCAGAACAATGAACATCCAGCGGTATGAAATCAACAACGACACAAACATTAGCTTGTTTTTTTTGGGCGTCTTACTCCCGAACCTGCACTTCTGACCTGAACAGTGGATTTAATACGTCAAGCATCACGCGTAGTAACAAACTTTGAGGTCGGATAACTGCAGCATCCTGCCAACATGCTCCACAGCGTGACCTGCTTTTACTAGTCCAGCGCTCAGGAGCTAATTACCCCTTCAGCGTTAACCACATCCAAGACTGTGGAACACCACTTCGAATATAGTTTAAGGCTTTTTCCCCCCCCCCCACAATGATTTATTCACTGCATGAGTTTGTATTAATATCAGTTTTGTTCCCAATAGTCTCACAATTATTCTACATGAAATCATGTCCTGGATCGAGATAAGCAGCAGAAAATGGAACGAATAAAAATGAAGTAATTAAAATAATGAATCAATTAGATCTGTAGCTGTCACAGCTACTGCTATGTCTCCAGTGTTTCTAAGTGTTTTCTTTTCCCTGTGTCTCTTGTGCTTCCCCTTTTTAACTCTCTTTTCCTGTTAATTTAGTTGATTATTGTTGATCTCTATTGGTCACTGTTAACTTTATTAACAAAAACTATGATGGAAAGTATTCAGTGAAAATGAAACCAAAGGCTAAATAAAAAAGAAGGAAACTATGATGAATAATGTTGAATGGATGGAATGGACAAATAATCACTGTTTTAATGCAAAATGTTCTTGATGATGAGGTGCAGGGTTTTTGGAATCAGACTCCTCCCCATCAAAGTTCAACTTGCTCAGTAGATTAATCAGTCTGACCTGTTGAGCTGTTGACAATCAAGAAGCTCCTTATGTTCAGTTTTATCTGGAGATTCTTGAAAGAAAGACTTCAGAACGAACTGATCCGCGAAGCAGCTGAGACGAACTACAAGCATGAAGGCAGATGCCGACGTTTTAAAAAAAATGCCAACACAGGTGACGTGGATGTAACGTTAACATTAGTCTTTATTGGCGTTAATGTCATCCAACAGTTCAGCATCTCTTCTCCCAGACAGTAAACAGGACTTTAGCAAACAAGCGAGTGACTCATCTACTGAACGAGCTGCTGCTGTTCAGTAGAAAGAGTTGTTGTTGCTGCGATGCTAACGAACAGACAGAGAGGGAGCAGTGTAGAGTTTGGAAATGATGAATGGGTGCGCTGAGGAGAGTTTGTCTGTTCAGTCACTGCAGAGTAGAGGGACACGGACACTGAGCCTTTTCAGCTAAACTCCCCACAGACTAGATAACACACAGAACCGTGGTAACACAAAGATGGCTGCACCTGAAATAAAAATTGAAGCAAAGACTAAATTGTCACTGATGAAAAAGTGTTTTTAGCTGTCGATGATCGACAAATGACTCAAACTAATGCACTTTGTTTGGGTCAAAATTGTGAAACTAAGTCAATATCTGGTAGGGGGACCGTATTTTGACGACCAAAAACCAGGACATCCAATGAGATACTCAAATGATACTCGAAGTTTACTCAAAGATGCCTTAAAATTTCAATACATTTAAAGTATGCCTCTTCTGGGACAGGACCAGCACGTTTTCATTACTTCATAAAAAAGAAAAAAAAACAGGATGGCCAGGACAGGAGGTGAAAACAGGACATGTTCTGTTTGGTCTCCCTAAAATCTGGTGACAAATGGAACACTGCTGTTGGTTTTTTATCTTGTCTTCATGCTTTTTGTCTCTCCTGTGACTTCCTGCATCACCTTCATTAGTTTCACCTGTGTTCAATTAGCCCCTGAGTACTTAAACTGCACCGCCTCAGAGCTCTTCCCCTCTTTACTTTGCTCTGTGCCTGTGTTTAAAACCTTTCTGTTCAGTTTGCTCCTTTGTGGAGTGTAGCTTTTAGATTTTTTATTGTTTTTCTTGACCAAACCTCAGCCTGTTCGCTGCACTTTAGTTTGGATTTTTGCTTTTAAACCCTCTTCCACTGCCTCCATTTGAGTTATGACACTAACTAGCTTCATTTAACCAACTAGCTTTATTAGCTTTCAGGGGGTTAATCAGACCCAAGTCAGTGAAGAACAAAAAACTCACACCGAGCAAGTTCTGAATAATGGCTTACTGGAAATGTGACTAAATGACCGTTACTCAAAGCAGATCACTGATTTGCTGATGTTGTCCCACAATGCAGCGCACCAAAATAAATTTATGGTGTACAGCTGGGGTTAGTCAGAATAACTCGAGGGTGGCGGCGGAACAAATGTCCTGCAAAACAAAAGTACTGAGCAGCAGACTGAAGTGAAAATCAGCGGTTTCACAACATCTGACTAATGTTTGGTGCACGTGTTGTCACTTCCTGTTCGTATGAAACTGGTAATTAATTAATAGAATTAGTATGGATGCGGGAAGACGTGTCTTAAAATGAAAATTACCAGTAACTCTGATAAAATTCTAAAAATAATGAACAGATTTTTTAACCAGCTGCTCACAATGACTTCTTATTTCTTTGTGTGAACTTCCACGTTCGTCACGGTTGCTGCCTTTGGGGGGTTTTTGTGGGTTTCTGGCTCGACTCAGAGAGTAGTTCATAGCTTCTCTTAGTTACCAACAAATCTCCTCAAATACACATCGACACTCCAGTTCACACTAACAAGCTGATGGGCTTCACAGGAACAGCAACAGGGTCACGGCTTGAACACAACAGGAGATATTAGTGTCTTTCAGCCTCACTTGAGTTAAGTCTCTTCGCTTCTGTGTCCTCCGGCGTCTGATGCTGAGCAGGTCAAAAAGGCCGAAAGCTTCCGCCAGCCAGTCAAGTGGCAGTTTACACCCATGTCTGTCCAGACTCCAGATTTATATATTTTTTAAGAAGTAGAAAACACTTTGATTTTTATTCCTCTTAATGACCTTTCACTATTCAGAGTCAGATTTCTTGTTTCCATGTTTAGCCAAAAAAAAATTCTGATTAAAGATGTAACCATGACAGTCAACAATGCCTAAAATATGGATGTTGCTGCAAAGAAGATCCCATTTCTAAACCATGGATGGATAAACTCTACATACAGTCACCACAGTTTCAGGGTGGTATTCAACCAAATCTCACCGTCTCCCCTTCTGTTCCTTGTTGAACGGCGGCTGGGAAAAGTGTTTCTGCAGAATACTGTGACGCCAAAGAGATGTTGACCTCTGACCTTGTTGGATAGAAAATATCATTGCTGCATAATTTGATCGTGTTTGTGTGAAAAGGTGTCATAATGAGCTTGAGTTATGGTCGAACACGTTGTTTTGTGAGGTCGCGGATCTTGACACTCAGATTCTAATTGCTTCATCAGACGTTGGCGCCAGATGAATTGAAATGATCTCCCCGACGCTCCTGATGAATCGCGTGCATGAGAATATATCAGGCAGACAACCTGAGAACATATGTCATGTCCATGTTGCTGCAACTGTTGTCTCCAGTTAAAAGAAAGTCCAATAATTTGTTAAAATAGATTCGATAAAGGGAAATAAGATAAGACAAGTGTGTTTTTACCAAAAAGGGGCACATTATGGGACCTCTAATGCTTCATTTCTACCTTTATTGAGACATTTCACTCAAATCCAGTTTTGTCTTTGTGGTGCAATAATGTCAGTGGATCAGCAAGGTGAGAGGAACTCATCCTCTGGGGATTGTCTACGGAAAATGTCATGGCAATCCATCGAATTTCAAAGCGGTGAACCGACTGTCCAGCTTACCAAACTTTAAAAAAAAAACAAAGAACCACTTTCTCTAAGTTGTCTTACGTGTGCACCATTAGATTTTTTTCCCCCCAACTTGTGTATCTTGTGTACCTGTCATGAGACGAGACACGAACGTTTCGGTGAGCTGCAGGAAGCCGTGATCGATGTGCTGCAGAAAGGTGTGATGAGGGAGGCAACGCACGGCAAACACAGCGAAGAGGGTGTGATATCCTGGAGAGAGGGAGGTAGGGCAGATGAAAAGAGGAAGAGGATGAAGAGGAGCCATTAGCTTTTGATGATACTGAAAAGAAAAAGTAAAAAAAAAAAAAGAAAATGTTCACGTTGGCAATGCTCAGATTCGAGTTCCCCACATACTGCGTTATTACCATGATAGCATACTAACGGCCAATTAGCAATAAAATGTTCTGTTTCGTCTTCACAGAGGTCAAAAGGCCATGTTGCTAGCCTGCCAAAAAAAAACTAAAAAATATAAATCCACCTACACGAACATACTCCTGACTGCAAAAACTTCAGAAGAATTATTCATTCCTTTTATTTACCAAAGGGAAACGGTCCGTACGCCTGCTGTGTTCACTTCCACCTGCAGCCTCGGTGCTTAACGTGTGCTGCCTTGCTACAGGCCATTTCTCATTACCGCTCTCATTCCTGGACATTTTCGAACCGACAAACTTCCACTCAAAAAAAAAAAACGAAAGTTACAGAATGTTGGGTCTGTGCCGACGAACGCTGTAAAATTAATGCAGATTATTCGAAATGTATTCAAGCTCTGCCTTAGCCCATGTCTGCACATTGCTAATGCAAACGCACATTGTTATTCCGGCCGAGACGGAGACAGACTGGATTATAACAACTAAAAGTTTTAAAGTGTGTGTGTGTGTGCGGTACCGGGCGGGAGGGGCAGGCAGAGACCCCGGGTGGATTCCAGGATCCGAAACATGAAGTGAAACACCGACCACTCAGACGGACTGCCCTGCTGCGTCCTGCAACACACACACACACACACACACACACACACACACACACACACGAGAAATTCAGAGAGGAAAGTTATGTAACGTGAGCACATGCGTGAAGATGAACACACACGTTCTGTCGGCACTTCGGCTCCGTCAAACTTCAGAGGAAAGAAAAGGGGGCTACTCACAAGCTCAGAGCACGAGGGCCGAGTTTGTACTTCAGCCAGACCGACTCCAGCATGTGTCTGATGAGCTCCAGCTAAACACACAAACACACACCTCGTTAGCGCTCTGAGATGCTCGATTAGAGTCAAGTGAAGCATTTTCCTCGAAACGCAGCTCGAGGAACGGCGTTGGAAGCGTTTCGTGTGAGGAAACATGCGATTTCGGCACATTTCTCTGTGATGATGATGATGTTTGCGCACTTGTTCTACCATCAGTCACCTCCCTTCCCTCTTTTTTTTTCCCACTACTTCCCATTTTCAATTCCACCGAACAAGGGCTTCAGGGTGTGAACGCACGTTTCCCACTACGTCGTTTCAACACTCATCTGTAACGCAACCGGGGATCCTTGTGATGCACTTGACCCCGCCTGGAACGTGCCGGTGGTGGCTAAATCGCCCGCACTTCTTCTTTCCACAGATGACCACGCTGTCCTCTCCTGTGCAATAACAGGAAGAAGATGTGCCTCGTCCACATCCTGCCCAGCGGTGGGAAACCCGCCGCCAGCCCCCTCCGAATGCCAGCAGCAACATCCTCCACTGACCTCAGGGTGGGAATTTCAATTAGCTGCACTTATGTAACAGACAGGCCCGAAAGTAAAAGAGGTGTTCAAGACAAACATTATAATAGGATCCTCTGGGCTTTTGTTTTTTTTCTTTTTTTTCTTTCAGTTTTATGAAGTTTTGTATAAACTAAAACTTTTTGAAAAGGTTCTTATCGGCAAACTGTCTGAGCTGAATGAAGGAATGGATTCCGTCGAAAGTCCTGCATCTCTTCTTACCACAGTCAGTGGAGCCATTACTGACACTGTAGAGGCTGGTGACAGGTTACAAACAACAACAATGCAAACAATTGCAACAACAACAATGAGAGCTATAACAAAAACAGAAACAACAAAATAATAGCAACAAAAATGACAACAATAATAATAACAGCAACAACAATAACAGCAACAAAAACAGCAGCAATGATAACATCAGTAACAATAACAGCGACAACAATAACACAAGCAATAACAACAATGACAACAAACAAAAAACAGCAACAACAATAACAGCAGTGACAATAACAGAGACGATAACAACAATAACAGTGACAATGATAACAACATCAACAGCAACAATAATTAAAATTTCAGAAGACAAATGTTTGTGATGTGATCTTTTCGTGAGTTTTAAAAGCCTCTTCCACACACTGGAGCTTGTTGGTCTACGTCATGATTACCACCGGTCATACCAGCTTTATATCACAGATAATAACGTGAAAATATTCTGCAAGGTTGTTTTGTTTTTGTTTTTGTTTTTTGGAAAAAAGTGGAAACCCCGACAAATGACTTGGTTAAGGACAGATCAGCTCGGGTCAAATCAGACCGTCATTGTCATGGTTACAATTATTAACAGGTGGTAAGAGTTATTGACTCGTCACAGTTAGACGAAATGCAGACCGTTACTTTGAAATGGTAAATTTAAGTCTGATGTTTTGTTGACCCATCCATCCACCCTGACCTCCTCCCAACACAAACTTAGCGGTTCTATAACAACGTCACCTCACTTCCTCCTTTGCTCCTGTTGCAAATATTGTTGCCAGTAGGGAGCGCTGTCACAACAAAATATAATATGTAAGTAATCTTTATGGGAGGAAGGTTTCACACATGCTCGTAGATGCTAACTGTAGATGGTCGAGACAATGTGGCGTAATATCTTTGTGCATCTTCTTCTTGTTATTCCTCTTCCGTACAAATTTTCGGTCGGCTATTCCTCCCACAGATTTGAGAGCACCCACACAAATCATACATCAAAACGTGCGGCTCGATCGGGAATAGTGTGCTAACATACAGATTTACAAAAAAACGCATTTTTGGCGACGCAATTCGCCAAAACGTCGCAAAAATCTCCCATTGAAAATGAATGGGACAAGAAAAACACCGAAAATTACACTACTTTTCAAAACTCCACTGCTCAGGCATACTTTCACCTAGACACTCCATTTAAACTTTAAAATGTTGACGCGGCCTTTCCCTGTTTCAAAGTCTTTCTACTTTTTTCATATCTTCAACCGTTTCTTCGTGACAACCTCTCAAGTTTTGAAACTTTTTCCCCCCTTTTCAGCCTTTACAATGGGTGTGTATGTGGTCCTTTAGAGTGAGCAATGACATCACTAGAGTGGGAGCTCACAAAAAAATCACACAGTAAACTTTTTTTTAACTTATCGCCGTGGCCACAATTTTTATGCCACAGACATCATTTTTGCATCAAAACGCAGGAAAATTTGTCCTCCCGCTCACAATGTCACTTTGGAAGCACACAGAATTAAGTTTGGGGGAGTTTTGGAGCCTTGTTCCTCCACAAGTCTCTCTTCCTTCCCCATCTGCGCCCATTCAAAGACGGCTCCTGATTTTTCTCAAGGACCCCAAATTTACACATTTCTTCTCAAATGATTGTGTGCTCATTTTTTACTCCAGGAAAACAAAAAATACATCTATGTAATGCCCAAGGTCTTGGCTTTGTGAAAGTGCCCTCGGCTTTTCTCTCCGACACACGGTTTTGAAGAAAATCGCGGTTGTTTGAGGTCTTCTCCTTCTGGTCTCTTCTACTGATTTGACAGTTAAACCAACTATCTGTTGCAGCTGTGTGCTTCGTTGCCCGGCAACGCTCTAACCCTACTCCCAACCCCCCCTCCTCCAGGCACATTCTGTCGATGATGTCATATCCTGTTGATGATGTCATATCCTGTTGATGATGTCATATTCTGTTGATGATATCCCAAAAGATAAAAGGATGACAGAGAAATGCCTCAAGTGCTTAAGTAGGCTAGACCTGTTCTGATTAAGTACTGATCGTCAGCACACAGTGTTACCACCAGAGAACAGAACCTTGACAGGAGAAATCATGGAAAAGCAAGATTTGAAAGACAAAGTAAAGAGCTACATTGATCGCTGGGATGCATCCACTGCAAAGAGTCTCCAGCAAAGAAAAGTAGAGCTGTTCCTTTCTCGGAGCTCAGCAGAAAGAGCTCAGCTGAGAGATGAAATTGAGACCCTGAACGGCGTCCGTGACTTGCTCTTTGATAAGTCCACGGACATGCTGGACAGCGAAAGCATCGCTAGGGAGGAAATTCTTCATCTGAGGAGGAAGCTCGAGAACCTTTACGATCAGCTGAGACCCATGCTAGGAAGCCTCAAAACTGAGCAAAGAATCCGCAAAGACATAACGCGCCAAGTGCACCGCCACTTTTCGATGAAGCTTAAGGTGAAGAACCTGACTGAGCAGGTGTGTCTGGAGCAAGCTCGAAACAAGGAGCTGACTGCCAAACTGCAGGAGGCCCAGAAACAGCTGCAGCAGGCCCAAGCTTTAGAAGATCCAGACCTTCTAGAGGTTCCAGAGCTGAAAAAGACAGACGAGAAGAAAAAGAAGACAAAGAAGTCCAGTTGGAGGAGAAAGCTTCTACAGATCCTGACATGGGGCTGTGCAGGAAGAACACATGAGGAAGACTGATCGTCTGTCTGCGTCCTCTGATACATCTATCTATCAATATATGTATAGATAGATAGATAGATATTGTCTACATGTTACCAGCTAAAATATGGGATTAATTTAAAGAAGCGCATTTTTAAACAACACTAAAGCAGGGATTAAGGGCTAAAGTTAAATAAAAGACATTAATAGAAGCAAAAGAAACTTGTTAAGCTGGTTTTAAACTGTCAAACAACAAAGATAGCCACAATAAATACTATAAACACTAGCAATATTTTGTTGTTGTCACCAACTTACTTGTCAGTGAAACTAACTGCAGAATGTAAATTGTGCCAACTGTTTCTGTGCAAAAATGCCTTTGGTAAAACACTGCTCTTTAGCTCTACTAGCAGTCAAAAAGTTTACCTTTACCAGACAAACTGAAAGAGAGCTTACTTTGACTGCGCTGGGCTTTTTCCAAAGAATTAAAAATTTAAAAAAAGATATGTTGTACATAAATGATACTATAAAGTATGAATGTCTTTCAAATGAGAAAAATAAATCTGTCCATATATTGTACCAAATGTGATCATCCTGATAGCTGATGTTTTGTATTGTACAATTTAAGCCATGTTAGTTATCCAAAATAATGGGACATTTTGCTGAATATCAAACATAATGTCAGATTTTTTAAAGTACTCTGAGCTGTGATTTATGCTAGATTGGTGAACAAAGTATACGCAAAAAGTATATACAAAAAGTCAGATAAAGACACAATTAAAATGCTGAAAACTATAACGAAGTGATCAATTGACTGAGCCTGAGAATTCTAAAATTAGTAAATTGTTAGCTGGTAGCTACTTTAAAACACAATAAGTATTTACCACTCTGTCACCTGTAAGCATGCTGTTTCCACAACTTGCATTAGAATAAGATAGACGAGAATTCCCTTGTCATTGCAGTGCACAACAAAATCAAACAGCAATCGTGACACACAACACGATCAAAGTTCAGTAGGAAATGTGCAAATGTAAAATTAAAAATTCTAGAAGAAAAATCGGATGCCCAAGTGTATCTATGAAAGCTTTTAAAGATAGCTTATTTGGTGTATTTTTAAAAAAAAATACTTGTGGATATTATACATTGCACAATAATGTTAGTTGTGTTAGAATATTGATGGTGTTGTCTAGCTAGCTAGCATTACACATTTGGTTGCTACCTTGTGTTGCCTGTACATATGTGTTTGTGATGTGGACAGTCAAGCCTACGGTGGCCCGGAAGTGTCACAACAAAACAAAAGCCACAACACAACACAATAAACCACAACACAACCAAATTAACCACAACACTACAAAATTAGCCACAACACAACACAGTCACAACACTAAAAAATAAGCCGCAACTTATTAACTTACTAACTTTGCGACTTATTTTGTTGCGGCTAATTGTGTTGTGTTGCGGCTTTTGTTTTGTTGTGACACTTCTGGGCCACCGTACAACCCAGTCTCACGGCCATTCGTAAAATACTCACAAAATTTTATCTATTGTTTCGTGTCCTGACCTCATTCTAAGCCCGTGGCACTAATAACAACAATAATAACAACAATAATAGTATCAGCATTCATCAGCATATTGATATCAGCATTTCTTATTTTTTCTTTTGGAATATTTTTCCATTATTATCTTCTATATAACATTTGAAATTATTTTCACTATGTTTTAGTATTTTTTTGTTGTTGTTCTCTTGTTTTAAAGCTTTCTCTTTCTTTATCTGTATTCATTTGTATTTTACATTTTGGCAGCACTGTGAATACAACACTAAAAGCGCAATTCTCCTAAAGTGCTGTTCTTCAGCATTTGATTGTTCTACCACTCTGTTCCCAGCATAAACAGATTGTTTCATGTATTTTAACAGTTTTTTTCCCCTCCCAAATTACATATTCATCGTGTTAAAGGAAAAAAAAGTGACAACTTCTCCAGCAAAATGAATAATTCAAAGCTGAATATCCATTTTTTTCCCCCTCACCTTACATTTCTTTGCTGATATAATCAAACAAAAAGCAGAAATATGTAGACTTTGAGTTTTTGTGCTGAAAAACAGTGCAGAAAAAACAAAAAAAACAAGTGATTTGAAACCACAGAAATCCCTACGTGGCTTTTCATTAGAGTAAAATCTAAGAATCAGCAATTCGCCTTAATGAGCCTCGGTTCAACAAACGACTGGATTTCCTCAGTGTTAACAAAAAGTTTAGCAACCTTGGGTATAAAGCAACTTTTATGTTGCATAAATAAGAATATCGCAGGCGATTTTTAATTCATCGCATTACTTTTCATATGTATCCCTGTTTTTTTAGGTAATTCATATTCAGCTTTGAGCGAGTTCGCCTTGACATTGGCTGGGTTATAAAAAGGAATGTATCTCAGTTGTCTTCAGCAACAGGGACAGGAAATAAATAACTATGACAATAATGTACTGTGGAGCTGTAATCTATCATAGCAGAAGTTTCCTGGCTCTTAAAAGCTATAATCTATTTCACCCCCAACTTCTCCCCTGTGTCAACGCAACCATTAGTCTCAATAAGCACCAACAAGAGGGGGAGATGTTCTTTATTTGTAGAATGGACGTCAGCGCTCTTTGAAAGAGTACCACCCTGAGTTTTTAAAGCATGAGTCAGCTCGAGGTGGGAGCACATCACCCAGGCAGCCGCTCGACTCTTCTTTAAGTAAAACGTCCCTTAAGGCTGCCTCTCGCGGGGGCCTCGCTGAGAGTATGTTTTAAATAAGTCTGTCTCCCCGGATGAGAAACTTTTTCACTTTCACTCAGCCGAGTAAAATAGTTTCATCTGGAGTCTGAAGGCGCGGGTTAAAACTCATGAGCCTGTCGCGTCGAGCTGAGCCGCCGACCGATCCGAGCGGGGAGGATTTTTTTTTTTTTTTTTTCCCTCGCTCTGTCATTTGCAATTCCATAAAGTCCCAAAACGTGGTGCATCCTGCTTTCTATTCAATTCCACCCTTACCCTTGGCCTGATTTAATACTGTTGTGTTGATATATGCTGTATGTCTGCTTTCAGTGGCTCCTAACTGTGGAGGGATTTACCTCCCAGGAATACTAAAAACTGACTTTACAGAACCGAGAACCTCCGCGGGGTGCTTAAACAGAGAGCGGGTTCGTCTTTGCGCTCGGTTATGCAGATCCCACCTGAGCGAGTGGTAAAGAGCACGCCGAGAGATTATAATGAAAGTTTTGTTTGTATTTTTCTTTAGCAACAGTCACAGTGAAATTCGGAATCCAATATATCTTTCTAATGGAAAGTGAGAGAAGAAGATTGATGTTGTCTGTTAGCTTAGCTTAGCTTGGACTGGAGGAAATAACAAGCCGGGCTCGTTCCAGAGGTAATAAAATCTGCCAACCAGCACAGCTAATGCAGAATAATTAACACATTACGTCTAATGAGTTTTATCCATCCCAAAAAAAAAGAAAAAAAAAGACACATTTACAGCTACGTTTTACACATACAGTATTTCTGTGTTACACAAAATGTCAAAATAATCCTATAAAGCATTAATTCTAATTAAAATCCAGTTCGGTCGCCTTAATGGAGTCCTGATGACGATTTTATAGTTGCATCTTTTACAAGAGTCTTTCCATTTACTGCGACTCATGTTTCATTCGAGCATCTTTTTAAGAGGCCATCGACTGAAAATAGGATATTGATTAAGTTTTTGGGCCCCCCCCCCTCCTCCTCATACCAATCCATAAAGAGAAAGCAGCAAACAGTCCTTTATTTCTTTTACTTGAGTGAAACTACAGCAACAGAAAATAATCAACGAGAAGGAAAAAGTCCTGCTGCTTAAGTAAAAGCACTGGTTTGATCTGACTGATTTATCGTTATAAGCGGCCTCTGTAGATTAACAGTGAAGCGCCCGTGTATTGGGTTGTAGCTGCTGCAGGCTGGAGCTGGTTTATATTCAGAAACAAATCTGAGAGGTCGTCTGAGGATTCACAGGAGACGAAAGAAAAAAAACACAAAGTTCTGACAACACAATCGATTTTCGTTGAGATATTGGATTATTTAAATATTTACTGAAATTAAACAAAATGAGAAGTTTAGTGGGGAAAATGCTGTTTGTTGGAGCTTTTCACAACTCGTAGACAATGAAATGGACCAAACAGCCTTTGTATGGCGTCAGAGGCCAAACATGTTCATCTTTATTGTGTGTTTATGTTTAATTATGTGTAAAATCTTCATCTTGAAAGTAACTAAAGCTGTCAGATAACTGTAGTGAAGTTCAATATGTCCTTTGAAATAAAGTAGACTGGAAATATAAAGTGCTTGAGTGATAAAATGGAAACACTCCAGTACAAATATCTCAACACTGTACAGTACTTGAGTAAATATACTTAGTTACTTTCTCTCTACTTCCCCAACAATGTTAATTCGAGTAGACTGTAAGGCACATGGAGCCTGAGAGGCAAAACTCAGGGCAGAAAAAGTCCCTTTCTACTCCCATATGGTGTCTTATGAATTTTTTCATTCAGTTTGGAATATTAAGGGCTGCAAGTGGTTAGCACTGTTGCCTCACAGCAAGAAGGTCGCCGGTTTGCGTCCCAGTGAGGACACCCGGGATCTTCCTGCGTGGAGTGTCTCCCCGTGCAGTGTGGGTTCTCTCCGGGTTCTCCAGCTTCCTCCCACACAGTCCAAAAACATGTTGAGGTTAATTGGTGATTCTAAATTGTCCGTAGGTGTGAATGTGAGTGTGCTTGGTTGTCTGTCTCTAAGTGTAGCCCTGTGATAGACTGGTGACCTGTCCAGGGTGTCCCCTGCCTTCACCCTAAGTCAGCTGGGATAGACTCCAGCCCCCCATGACCCTAGTGAGGATTAAGCGGTGTATAGATAATGGATGGATGTAGTTTGGAAGAATGTTTTTTTTTTTCGTGTGTTTTGTTTGTGCTCATGCTCTCATTAGTTGGGCCTCATGTTACTCCACTAATCAACAGGTGTCAGTAATGTGCAAAGCAACACCACAGCAGCGTTTCTCCTTCCAGCTGGGACAGAGCAGCTGCTTTAACCCACTTTGGTGGAAACTAAAAAAAAAATTCTTGATGGGTCGAGGATACATGGCTTAACAAGAGAAGTGATGTTTGCTTTAGAGGACTGAAAGAGTGACCCGATCTCGTCCATAAAGTGTCGCGTCACAGCATTTAGTTAAAGTGGAAAACTCCCCGCCTGTCGCTTAACCTTCCCCGAGAAAAAGAGGATAGGAAAACATTCGGTAAATATAACTTTAAGAGCCTTTTAAAAAAAGGGCAGCGGAAAGATATATACTGAGCTCCTCGACCTCTCTTTATCTGTGACCGACACACACACACAGACACACACAGACACACTCAGAGTGTACCAACCAGTTTGGCGACATAGTTGACAACCAGCAAGTCGATCTTCTTCTTCCCCAGTCGTGGCAGGTGTCTGTTGAGATGCTCTCGAAGCTTGTCAACCGTCTACAATGCAAAACACACACACAAAAAAAAAGATTATTTTCTCTGTGCGTGTGTGTGTGTGTGTGTGTGTGTGGCTTGGAGTGAAACTTTGTGTTTGTGTGTTTTAAGCATACTTTGCAGTGCATTCAGCAGGGTCAAATTGAGTTCACCTCGAATTTTCCCTCGACTACAGTGTCCCAAAATTGATTTAAGCGAGGAGAGGAGAGGAAGAGGAAGAGGAGAGGATGCAGTAGATGAGCGAGGCTCTAAAAAAAAAAAAATGACAGAAAGTTAATGTCCTTCTGGGGAGAAAACAAGGAAGCGAAAAGGAGACGAGGAGGCGAGCAGAGAAAAAAAAAAAACAAGACAGAATGGGGAAGAGAGGAGGGTAAAAAAAAATGGAAGAAGTGATGGAGGGAGTAGGGAGAGAAGGACCAGAGGACTGGGTCATTCTAAGAATAGCTGAGCGACTGCTAGCATCTCCACTGAACTCCATTAAATTGAAGCTATCTGCTCTTTAAAAACTATGCTGAGCACAGGAAAACCGGAGGATATGAAATTGTCCATCAAACAGCGCACGGTTAAAAAAAAAAAAATAATAAAAAAATGCAGGACAGGGACCTTAAGATGCCCTTTTTTTTAAAGTGTCGACTCATCTGAAGCGTAACGGGAACTTCACCTTAAAGGATGACTATGGAGGGAAATAATCGGTTGTCAGCATTTCACGATGGATTTTAAGCGGTCCATACATCAACTCTTGTTAAAGGAAAAATCCACCTTAAGGAGCTGTTAAACTGTTGTATATCAACAATGTGGGACACTCAATTGCGTTTCACAATGAACTGCTTTTCTATGCGCCCGCCGTCGCTTTCTCTGCAGTTAAAGACGGTGCAGGGGGAAAACACACATTCGCTGTATTGTGCACAATTTTTCAAACAGAAAAGATGTCAGGGTAGGTGCTGTATCTCAACTGATAAACAATCCAGGCTGTCTCCTGCTCCTGCGCTTTGATTTTGAATGACAGGATGTTAACTGCTGTCTTTCCTGGAAAGCTGAAGGACTTTCTGCTTTTGAAATATCGCCATGATTTGTCATGACTGACTGAATGACTGATGCTGTAAATCAACGATTAACCCTCTGAACCCTGAGCAGTTTCCAGGTTGTTCTTTTTACCACCTCTCACATTTTTACTCACTGTGGGCTCATTTTTCACTGAAATGTAAAGTCCTGCACAACTATGGAAACTCAAAATGTGTTTGGTACATATGAGGGATGAAGTTTATTAATTATTTTACAAAAATTAAAGAAACCTGGAGTCAACACGTGCAATATTTTTCCAAGTGCCCACAGGTGTTACCAACTCTACATACTATACATATTTCTACTACTTCAGTTTGTTTCCATACGTGTCTTTTATCTGCTCCCTGTAAACACAGCCTGCAGTTCATCCCAGTTTAACTGAGAAGTCCCTAAATTGTTTAAGTGACTGTTAGTTGCAGCCATAGCTTCATGGTTCCACTAAGGATGACAATTTTGGGGGTTTTTTGCATAATGTGGGAGCAAACTGTTTATTCGTGGCAACATTTTGAACTGAAACATGTAGAATAAAGTGTTTTTTTTCCCTCAAGAATATCAATATTGTGGGCTGCAAGGTGGAGCGGTGGTTAGCACCATTGCCTCGCAGCAAGACGGCCGCTGGTTCGCATCCTGGTGAGGACACCTGGGATCTTTCTGCGTGGAGTTTGCATGTTCTCCCCGTGCAGCGTGGGTTCTCTCCAGGTTCTCCGGCTTCCTCCCACAGGGTCCAAAAAAAATGTTGAGGTTAATTGGTGATTCTAAATTGTCCGTAGGTGTGAATGTGAGTGTGCTTGGTTGTCTGTCTCTAAGTGTAGCCCTGTGATAGACTGGTGACCTGTCCAGGGTGTCCCCTGCCTTCACCCTAAGTCAGCTGGGATAGACTCTAGCCTCCCACGGCCCTAGTGAGGATTAAGCGGTGTATAGATAATGGATGGATGGATGGATATTAATATTGTGGCGATCACAAACAAACATTACAGGATTCTCAGAAAAATCAGATTTGGTCTGTAAAGTATAGCAAAGATAAAACATTATTTTTCTCTTTTTACCCCCCTGCAAACCCCAAACACCTTCACAAGCCTCAACCACGAGCTGGAGTTGATGTATACAACATGTTATGAGTATATGGTGCTGGGCGACCCTTCAAGCATACACAACAAGTACCAACAACAAAAAGAAAAGAGAGCTGGGGCTGTGGACAGGAATCAAGCTAATTGAGTTACAGAAATTTCGTTAGCAGCGGCATTATAAATAAATCAGTTACCAGATACCAGTTGCTGTGTACATGAGTAGTAATACAATAAGGGTGGAGACGGAGGGAGAGCTGGAAAAAGCAATTGATTAAAATAAAGTGATTTCGATGGGAAATCGAATCATTACATAATCATGTCAGAATATAATATTTTAGGAGAGAGTTAGAAGTTTAGCGACCGAACAGCAAGTCACTGATGAGAGGTTCAGGGACCCCCATAAAGTCCAAAATTCTTTATATTTTTTACAGTTTCTGGCTGTGATAAGTTGAATTTTGGGGTTTTCTTTTCCTAAAGACAACAAACCTTCCAAACCTGTGAGTGGGTTTTTGGGTTCAGAGGGTTCATTTGGATTCCAGCATTTCAACAGAAGATGATCTCTGAAAGTTTTTGAAACTGAAATCTCATGAGGGGATTCTTAGTTTAAACTAATGATGGCCAGCAGCATGTGGACATCCAAACCACATAAAACACATAAGATGAAAGAAATACGGCAAATTGTCGTTTTACACCCAGCTGTTTGTACAAATTAAACAATACACATGTACAGTATGTAGACTACATGTTTGTATCTAATCTATGTATGTTTAATTACGATGCCTCTCAGATGCACTGAAAAGGTGTCCAACTGGGACTATTCCCTAGAGAAGACCCAGGATACCCTGTTGTCCTGCTGTGGCCGCTGCCCCTGCGACCCAAACCTAGAAAATGGATGGATGGATTTACTGTCCAGCCTTCCAACCAGGTTTGTGAACCTGACTGCTTTGCTCATGATTGATTTGCTCCTCTGATGTCTGGTGACACTGAGCATTCATGTCACACCAGCGGTACTGTAACACAAGTTTATAAATAAGGTCCAACAACCAAGTTTTAACTGAGGACAGTGAGAATTTTTTTCTGAAAGTTCCAACAAATCTGACTTACTCAGTAATTAAGCAACTTGGAAGCCTAAAAGCCAACGAAACATGGGCACATCACATCAACCAGAGCTGGTAGTTCAAGGTAATTAAACCCTAATTTAATGAGGTCAGTCCAAGGGTGGAAGCTTCAGTCAGACTTTGGGGGGAACCTGGTTTATTTGAGCTGATATAAACTTCACCTCACCAAACACAATTACAACACCGAAATGTAATTTTGTCTGTATTGACGGGCTTATCTTAATAAAAATGTCTCACATCACTCTTCATTTAAAGCAGCAGTTATCATTTCTGCTGCTGTGTGATGCTGCAGGTCGTTATTAAAGTCACAGGAAAGAATCTGACGCACAGCCAGCTGTTGGCAACTAACAGGGCTTCAGTAATGTTTCTGCAAAATCCAGATTTACAGTCAGTGACACCTGAAAAGTCACGTTAATGGCTGTTTTTTGGCAGACAGGTGATGAATATGTATAATCTAATAGATACCTGGAGGGGGTGTAGTGTTACCTGGATGGTTTGATCTACCGTAGATGGGTCGGGGTGATGCTAAAAGACCTCCGATAACCACAGAAAACCTCACCGGTGATGTGTTCAGGTGCATGAAGTTGATGTACTGTATGTAATAAGTAGCACACGATACAAGTACGAGAAGCGAAAAGGTTGATTTATATCGTTGCAGAGCTCTGTGTGTTCACACCTCTGCTGACTAAAGGCACAAAGTGAGGCTTTTGCAGTTTTCATTCTGGGTCAATCCCTGTGCAGAAGTGTGAAGAAAAAAAAGACACTGGAAACCGCTCTGAAGTACCTGTAATACATCCGTGTTGATCTCCTCCGTGTTCACTGTTCCTTCATGGGTGCATAATTGGGGGGAGTGTCACTGAAGTTTTAATTACGAAGTATATTGAAAATAAAACTAACAGCAGCCAGATCCACTGACAGGGTTCATAGAAGGGGGACATGTTGAAGATCATTTCTGCTTGATATCAAAGGGGGACGGATTGGTGTTCACTCAGTATTGGGGGGTCACGACCCACCCAAAGAAAGCACGAAAACCTCCTCGATACAGCTGTTGTTGGTTCGTAATATTTTAATAATACAGCCATTTTATTGACTCTCTTAAGGTTTGGAGATGCTCGCAGCTAGTCAACACGGGAATCTTCCATCGATTCTATAAGACTTGAAAGTCAACTTAAGGCCTGTTCTTCCACAACCTGGAGAACGGGCCTGGCCTTGTGCCATCATCATTTAAGTAGAAAACAGCTTTCCCCAACCTGTTTCCCTAAATTCTGAGGCACATTTTTTTTTGCCTAAAGCATCAAATTGTAACCTATTTGAGTAGGAATTGACTTTTTTTACCGTCTGGTTGTGTGTGTGTGTGTTCTGGCATTGACAACTTTCTCACCAGGCCTATGAGTTCCCTCTGTTGATGGTCCTCCTCCTGGAAAAGTGGCACCAGCTTCTTATCTGGAAGAGACCAGGCAATGGTGAGCGCAGGCACATAAAAGAGACGTTTGAAGAAGCCTTTGAAGCTGCGGCTATGCTAGATTGAACACTACAGGTAGCCTGAGGTGTGTCAGTGCGCTAACATCATTAAACAGGCCATCAGTAGGACTGGGAAAAACCAAATACTGACTTTTTTTTTTCATTTTTTTTTTTTTTTTATAACTTTAAAAAAAAAAAGACTGAATCTAAAACATTAATAAATTCTTTTGGTGCTTTTATTTTTTTTCCTTCCTCGCTTTAAAAATACATCCCAAACCTTCGGGGTTATGAGGCTGCAATCCCGCTGAGTGTGTGTGTCTGTGTGAGAGTGTGTGTTCACGCTGCACTTGTTTTATGTCAGTCACACAAAAGAGGACCACACTCCGGCTCGGTTGCTTCAGATGAATTATTACACACTTGCATACACAAATGTGCACCCTCGTTTGATCACTTTTGCACACGTGCGAGAAGCAGACTTTTCGGTGCTCCGTTATAAATATCGCTCTTACGTGGGGAAGCTAACTTAAAGGCTGTGCTGCCAAATTCACTGCATGTCTGTCAGCAGCTTAAAGTACTCAGCTGGTTTAAATGTACACACTTTAAGACGTTTAGCTGCTGCTTTTACTCACAGTGAGCAGACTGAGTGTCTGTAGCACTGACTTGCTTGGTCACACAATAAAATAAAAAAACTTAACTGATCATCAACAATTTGTGCTCATCATTTAG